TACATCGTCAAAACGAAGATCTTTTAGTCCAGGCCGACGGTGGGCATGCCGCCGAGGTCAACGTTGACGCCACCCTGGTACTGGCCAATGTTGAGAGAGGAGTCGTAGGCGATCATCTCGGCGAGAACGTCAAGGACGGGCTAGATATAAGATCAGTTTCAGATCAAATGCTGTAGCAATTTTCCGGGGATCCAAGGAGGTCTCTTACCTTGGGAACGGTCTTGTCGTAGATGCCGATCAGGTCACCAGGCGTAGGGTAGACCTTGAGGCCCTTGTAGAACGCAAGCGCGGCTTCAACAGCGCGCGTGGCTGTAACATCAACAGTTGTCAGTAAGCTGAGCCATCTCGCCTCATTCCGGGTATTTCTTCTCGCATAGGGGTTGGACTAACGGTCGGCGGACAGCGTCTCTCCCTCGGAAACCTGCTGGAGGAAGTATGCCTCCTTCTGCTCGACGTCGGTAGGGAAGCCCTCTTCCTTGGCCTCATCGACGGCCTCCTTGATGGCTTGCCTTTGTCGGACGGTCTCCTGCTGGGCCGACTCCTTCTCGGCCTTGTGCTGACGGCGCTCGTTTCGACGCAGTTCTCTCCGGAACTCAGCCTTGTTGCGTCGCTGGTAGTCGAAGAAGGCGGCGTACGCTTTGATGACGAACGTTAGCAAACGCGGCTCCAATTAAACTGGTCCCTCGGTCCTATTGTGGAATTGGCAAAGGGAGAATTGTGATATCGGGGTGCGTCGAGGTGTCGAGGCAGACTCACCAACCAAGCCGGTAACGGCGGCGGCGACTGATGCCGTCACTATCGTGGAAGTCTGGGACATCTTTTTTTCTGGAACTTGGGGAAAAGCGGACGGAAGGTTTGGCTTTCGGTCTACAGCAGTCGGAGCTGATAGCGACGATGAGAGCTGATGGGGTTTGTGCTCAGGTTCACAACGTTGCGCTTTGTGAGCTGGGAGATGGTTGAATGACCGGGGGGAGACAACGGGCGGAGGATTCGTTGACGGAGTAAATATCGAAGGAAAGAAGCTCTATCGGGAATTGATGGAGCTTCCTCTACCAATTTTTTTAGCCTCTGCGCCATAGTTCCCAGGTCGCGTTCTCTTGCCAAGCAGCCGCTGGAGTGGGTCCCTGAGAGCACAGACCAGACACAGTGATCAGATAGGTACGTACTGATTCGACAGCTCACTGAGGTAGGTAGGTGCACTGCTGCAGCACCCGCCAGGAGGCTGCTGTTGCCCACTGGACGACGAGGTTAGGTGCCCGCCTTCCAGATTACGTAGAGGGATAAGTGCTGCGTGCCATAACGACTTGGGACTCCACGTCCATCTTAATGTCGAACTGGCAGGGGTCTTATCCTCTCAATGGCCACCACAGCACGGCAGCTTCCCACTCCGCGGGCAACAGACGGTGCATGAAACAACATCAATCCGACCTGATCTGCGACTTCACCAAAGGGGCTTTGTCCTCGCTCTTTCTACCCATCAACATCTGTCTCTCTATGCACAATAAGTGCTACTAGATTCGTGCCCTTCTGCACGTAACACCAACTCAACCGCCCGCCATGTCGGAAGATCGGGAGCGCAGCAAGATCTCGCTCCGAAGTGGAAAGAGAAAGGGCCGCCCTCAGATCAGCGCACCTCGCCAGATCTCAGAGCCCATTCTACAGGATGGATCTGGCCCAGTACGGCCTCCCGGCTCAAGGCCGATGGCAGATGCAGGTCCTCCGCCGGTCCAGCCTCGGCTTCGCCCGCCGCCGCAAGCTGGAGGCGGAAAGGTAAGCATCCCCAGCAAGGGCTAACTAACTGAAGAGTCAAGTTGAAGGTATTGGAGGCTGACGAGAGAATGTATAGACCTCGGACTTGGTCAAGCGACGATACTCGACGCGGTTTAACACCCTGCCGAACGACTTCGACGTGAATAACCCGCCGGTACCGTCTATGCCATCCCTCGACAAGTACGAGTCCCGCCAGCGAAGAGCAGCACAGCCCCCTCCCAGCCGTGGCGGCACAGCACCAGCGCCAATTGTCGATATAAAGGCATTGCGAGATCCCGAGTTGGTACCAGACCAATGTGAGTAATGGACCTCCTTGGTTCATAGCATGTAACTAACACAGTTCTAGATGTTGCGACATTGCTCAGCGAAGCGGACGAAGACCAGATCCGAGAATTTGAGGATAACCTACGCAATCTCAAGGGCCGGGCCAATGCAGACTTGCAGCAGAATGTCATGCAGAACCGTACCCAGTTCATCAAGATTAGCAAAGAGGCCGAGAAGCTCAAGGGCGAGATGCGAGCGTTGAAGAACCTGATGACGGACCTCAAAGTGAATACAACAGCACTTCGCCAGGCCTCGAACAACGGAAACAATGAGTCTTCAAGCCTTGGGGGCGAACTCTCGACAGGCCTGAGCAAGAGGGACAAGCGAAGCTCGGTCGCAGACCGAAGCGCCCTTTGGAACTCGCAGATGCAGGCACTATACAAGAATGTCGAGGGTTCCCAAAAGTTCCTGCCCAATTCTGCCCGGCGCCATGTCATCCAAAATGCAGGAGCTTGGATTGAGCTGGACAACGCCACATACAAGTCTCGACGAGCGATGCAGATATTCCTACTCAGCGACCATTTGCTTATTGCATCTCGCAAGAAGAGAAAAGCCGATGTCCCGCCTCGCGAAGCTCAAGGACCCCTGGTGAAGCTGGTCGCAGATCGTTGCTGGCCGCTGCTTGATATTGAGGTTGTTGACATGGCCGGACCCGGCGATGGCTCGACGACGAGAAACAAATTGGCAGATGCTGTCATGGTCAGAGGCGTCGGCCAGGAATCTGTCATCTACCGAACCGAAAAGCCAGAGGATACGGAGAAGAACAGTCTGCTTCTCAACATCCGCAAAGCAGTGGAAGAGTTGCGCAAAGAGCGACAGTCAGAACTGGAGGCCAACAACAAGGCCAAGGAGACGATCAACTACTTTGCGTCCCGTGACCCCGGCCTGCTGCAGAAGACTGAGCTTTTGGAAACATTGTCCGACATCAAGGACATGCTCATCGACGTTGATGGAAAGCAGCAAAATCTACGATGGGTCGAAAGCCAGATGGACGAGCTCGATATTGATATTGCATTACAGAGCTTTGAGCCGGCAGTTGACCGCGTCGAGAAGCTGAAGAATCTCGCTCGAGGCCTGAAGAACAATGCGGTGGCGCAGGACTTCATCAGCTTCAAGGTCGAAGAAAGATGTGCCAAGTTGGCGGGCATGATCATTCGCGAGCTCGAGACGACACACACGGCGCCTACCAAGAACAAGCGTAACATTAGTTGGTTGGCCAGGCTTGGCTACGAAGACAGGGCTCGCGAGGCATATCTGGTCGCCAGACATGATATTATCACAAAGCGATCGAGGTAAGATTGGCGATGCTACGTATCCTTTTGGATTTGGCTAACCCCCTTTCAGACAATGCATCTTCCAGGGTGATTTGCACTTGTACATCTGGGAGCTCTCGTTTGTTTACTTCTCTCTGATCCGCAACACCGTGAGCTGCTTTCACTCATGTTTCCCTCCGCCGATGATGAGCGCCTGCGTCAAATGGGCCAAGGAAGAGGTGGAGACTTTCAACAGCATCCTCGCGCGACAGCTCAGTGGAACAGAGCGCGGCGGAAAGGTCTGGAACGAATGCATGGAGCGTGCCCAAGAGCACGCAAAGATGTTGAACGAGGTGCAGCTCGATTTCCGCACACTGGTCGGACGTGATTTGGAGCACTCGTCTGGTGTCACCAGCCCCGTTGGTCTCGGGCTATCGTAGTTGTCAACGATTGAGTGTTCATGGACCCTGCGACGTCTACAATAGGCATGCTAGAGACGGTTTTGATGGGCCTTGAGTAATGGCAATGGTAATGGTAATGGGCAATGAATGGAAGGGCTGAAGATTGCGGGTTGTGTTGAGTCCGCGGTCAAGCAAATGATACCGAGACATTGAGGACGAAATGACGGAAGTGCCGCGGCCACTGGCATGTGCACAGATATTTTGGGCCACTTGAGGCTTGTTTGGCCTCTGGCCTGTTTACTTGCGACGACGTTTGTTACCTAAATAGGGAAATAAGTAGCCATAGGACAAGTGACCTATATCGAAACTTCACTGATGGGAAAAAAGGGGAGCAAGCAGTGTGACAAAGGCAACCAGAGAAACCAGAGTTTCGTGAAATCGATCGATGACATGATGCTCAGTGTGTCTACTTGTACTGTCTTATTAAGATATTTAGATTGAGATGCTTTACTTTGGCTGCCCAGGTATCCGTATTACCTAGGTACATACCTACCTATAGGATCTTACCTTCATGTCGAGGCTGATGCATCAAAGGAGTAGACGCAGACGTGACGAGGCTTACGTTAGTGCAGTGTATCGGATTAAGCGAGTCTAGGCCAGGAGGTGTCACCCAATAGGAGGCATTTATCTCCTGCCTCATGGCTTGGGTGTGTTTCTTGCCTGGGGGCTCAGGAAAGTCCCATCCAGTGTGGTGGTGTATCTCTCAATCCCCCTCCTGCCCCAGTCTGCTGGTCTTGCTGCAACCAGCAAGCACCACACCACGCCCGCCGCACCTGCACCCAGCACTAGAGCACCACCTTCCACATCGCAAAAATCCCCAGTGCCCAACGTCGACGTCTTTCCCCGTTCTCATCACAGCATCCAGAGAACATAATCCCTTCCAACCCCACCCTGCGCGAACACGTTCAACGTTGTGCTCCTCTCCCTCGCCCAAAACACTCGATCGCGTCCTCCTTATCTGGCCTCAGACGAAGCTCTGACCGCCTGTGACGATTCGCCGCCAGCCCCACGCTACGATTGAGGTGCTGTGCCAATCTGAATACCGCGACCGGCTGCTGAAAACAACGTCATCCCCAACCTAACTCGACGACCCCGACGACGCTGCCTTCCTTGCTCCCCGCGACCCAGCCTTCGTGCGATCGAGTCATCTATCAACATCCCAAGCATTTCAATCGATTAGACGACTTTCAGCATGGATACGAACATGGAGGACGTCGGCCGTGTCCCCGCCGATCTGCCTTCCACCCAGAACCTCGAGCCCACCACGATCCCTACTTTAGATGGTTGGATCGAGAGCCTCATGAGCTGCAAGCAGCTCGTCGAGGCCGACGTCCAGAGACTCTGCGAGAAGGTAAGCCTTCCGTCCCCAGCGATGATGAAGGTCGTGATGCGCGTTTCCCACAGCGTCACAGCTGCGGTTCGCCATACGGCCTCTCCTCCCCTCATCTCGAATCACCCCTCTCGCGTGACCCCTAGGAACGCCTCGCTAACGTCCAGCAACAGGCGCGGGAAGTCTTGCAGGACGAATCCAATGTCCAGCCCGTCGTATGTATCCCCGTCGCAGGGCAAGCGATTCAAGCTGACCCCCCTCATTCAGAAATGCCCGGTGACAGTGTGCGGTGATATCCACGGCCAATTTCACGATCTTATGGAGTTGTTCAAAATTGGCGGTCCGAACCCCGACACCAACTACCTCTTCATGGGTATGTTGACCATATCATGTCCTCGCACTCTCTTGGATAGACGCTTACCTTACTAGGTGACTACGTCGACCGTGGTTACTACTCCGTCGAGACCGTGACTCTCCTCGTCGCCCTCAAGATCCGATACCCTCAGCGCATCACCATCCTGCGTGGCAACCACGAGTCCCGCCAGATCACCCAAGTCTACGGTTTCTACGACGAGTGCCTCAGAAAATACGGCAACGCCAACGTCTGGAAGTACTTCACCGACCTCTTCGACTACCTCCCCCTTACCGCCCTCATCGACAACCAGATCTTCTGTTTGCACGGTGGTCTGTCTCCTAGTATCGACACCCTGGACAATATCAGAGCTCTCGACAGAATCCAGGAGGTGCCCCACGAGGGCCCCATGTGCGACCTCCTTTGGTCCGACCCGGATGACCGCTGCGGCTGGGGGATATCACCCCGTGGTGCCGGTTATACGTTCGGTCAGGACATCTCCGAGGCTTTCAACCACAACAACGGTCTGACACTTATTGCGCGTGCTCATCAACTGGTGATGGAGGGCTACAATTGGTCTCAGGACAGAAATGTCGTGACGATTTTCTCTGGTAAGCGGAGCTTCTTGATTTGATGGGCTGGAGAATCATGACTAACCGAGCCAGCACCCAACTATTGTTACAGATGCGGTAACCAGGCGGCGATCATGGAAATCGACGAACATCTCAAGTACACTTTGTAAGCACACACTTCTCATCAACGTGCCGTCGACAAGCATATACTAACCATGCGCAGCCTGCAATTCGATCCTTGCCCCAGAGCCGGCGAGCCGATGGTCTCGAGACGCACACCCGACTACTTCCTCTGATCAACCTATCCGATACCCTTACCGTCCATCATCCAGATCGATCTGGATGTCATCCATGGACGGAATTCGAAGAGATGGGGGCGTGCATGCTCAACTTGCATTGGTGTTTTAGGGGCGTCTAATCTTGTAAGATTACAACAAAAGCCAAGAGAACCAATGTACTCCCAAGAAAGAGAGATCCTGCGTTGAGCAATATGATATAAAGCGAGAGAGATACAGAATGGCCCCAGGACGCTCAATTAGGAGCGCGAGAGTTCCTTATCATTAAGGTTCCTGGTGTATCCTGGACGCTTTCCTCTGTCATCACGTTAGATACTCATCATAGACCGCCGGCAACAAAGAAGGTGTCGATGTTAATGACAAGCTGATGTTCCAATTTCCGTTGAACCCCCTGACCTGCCACGCATGGATACAACCAAGTTGCGGGCTAATGCTTCAAGGTGAGCTTCCAAGCTACTATTTTATTCAAGCACACGATAAATGATCCCCTTGCGCCTGTAGGTCCGTATTTGGAACCTCCCAAATATGCATCGTCATCATCACACATTATCTCTCCTGGACCCCATGTCGGACGTAGCGTACCCTACGATTCTTCCTCACCTCCTATGCCGCCGACGCCGACGTTCATGACTTCGCCTCCTCTCCTCGCTCGTCTTCCTCCTGGTCGGTCGACCCCTTCTCACCTTCTTCTCGACGACCACACGCTCCCGGAAGATCTCTCTCCTCCTTCCCCCGATACCTAGACCGCCTATACCCGTGTTGATCTCGTTGCTGATCTCCTCGGACCGACTGCTGCCCGACGAGCGCGTCCCGCTAAAGTAGCCGCTTCGGCTATCTCCGGACCCTGTAAAGTAGCTGCTCCGGGTGTAGTCGGTGGCGAGGTAGCCGCTCGGGGTGAAGTACTCTGTGCGAGACGAGGCTCGGCCTCGCACCGCCGTCGTGGTCCGTCTGGAGAAGGAGCTGATGACGCCATGGCGCCCTCCGTGGCGGCCGCTGCGGCCGCCTCGGAACCTCTCGCGGACGGTGAGGGTGCTGACGCGTTTGTAGGCGTGCTGGCCCTTTGCGTAGTGGCCCGGCTTGCAGGCGCCGTCGGGGACGTGGAAGCGGAGGTCGAAGCGGAAGAGGGCGTAGAGGAAGATGACGACGAGTTCGAGGTCATAGTTGAAGATGTAGTAGCAGGCTTTGTGATGCCACCAGCCGGGGAAGAGGACGGGGCGGACGGCGTAGTTTACGGCGCAGCGGTAGGCGGCGCCGATGGTCATGAGGGTCGCGGCGGTGAGGACGAGGATGATTTTGGTGGTGAGGGAGCCGTAGCCGAAGGGCTCGGGGCGGCGGAGACCGGGGTAGAAGGCGGCGAAGAGGAGGATGGGGATGGGGAGGAAGGCGATGAGGGCTAGTGTGGTGGAGGTGAAGAGCTGGACGACGCGGCAGTCGTAGAGGCTCACCGGGTTGAGGGTGTAGAAGCTGACGACGAGGGCGGTGATGGCGCAGACGAGGCAGACGAAGATGAGGAAGTAGGTGAAGAGGAAGAAGACGTTGACGGCGGGCAGCCAGCCAATGTTGGGATGGAGGCCACGGAGGAGGCGGTGGGTGAAGAGAAGGTTGAGGATGAAGAGGAGGACGACGCCAGCGGCGGCGAAGACGGCGGCCGCGATGTTGAGGGAGACGTTCCAGGGCTGGGTGGCCCAGGCGATGCGGAGGGAGAGGGCAATGATGCGGGTGATGCAGAAGCCGACGAGGACGCCCGAGGGAAGGAACTTGTGGCCCCGGGCATTGTTGCGGAGGAAGATTGCGCCGTTGAGGAGGGCGGCGGCGAAGAAGAAGATGATGAGGATGATGCAGATCGGGACGTCTACCCTCACGTCTGGGATGAGACCCAGGGCGGCCACTTGTGGGGGGTAAGGAGGTCCATACAGAGGCAGCTAGTAGGCGGAAAGGAGTTCACAATGTTAGCTGTGAGGCCCTCTTTTCTTTGCAATGCTGGACAGAAAGGGAGAGGGAATAGGGGGTAGACGAACCGGAGCCCCAATGGGTATGAGTGCCGCCATTCTGACAAAGTACCTGTCAGGACTAGTAACTATTCGCAGGCCTGAAGCTGCTGGCAAGCCAAGCAGCACCTGCAGAACAGCTATAACCAGGGAGGAGGAGGCTGAATGAGCTGGACAGTCGAGGATGCTTGGCAGCCAGTGCTCATGCTCATACTCGTGCTAAGGGGAAGGAGGGGATCCAAACCAGACGTAAAAGCCACGCCGAATGTAAGTCAAAAGAGAGGAAGGAATCCTCTCTCCCCCTCCATTGCGTACGACTAGTTTCTTGGAAAAGACCGGGGTAAGAGCAATTCTTTATCATCGTGTTTGCCGTACGGAAACATATTCGTCTGAGCTTCGAGTGCATTCTTCCTTAGCGTCGGCGAAGAGTGCGTTGGTCTATGTGAGCTATTCGGCACGGACATGGGGCAAGAGAGAGTGACGGACGAGGCAAAGGTAAAGGCGGATGCGGGTTTCAGCCTGTGGCAAGAGCTGAGAAGAGCTGAGAGCGAGAAAGGGTCGGATTGGCTCTCGCTGATAAGTTTGTGCGGTCTTTTTTGGTGTTCTCGAAAAATGGGAGAGAGTGACGAGTGGTGGGAGTTCGTCTCATAGATAGAATGGCGTTGTGAGGAAACGAGATGACAGTATATTGCCTCTCATACCCCATACTCTCCTCCTCCTCAATTGTAGTAGTCGGCCTCTTCCTTAAATTCAGCCTCTATTACCCATCATGCTTGAAGTCATAGGATCGACCCGAGAAGCGAATCGCGAGCCTAAGAAGTAGAGCCTTGCCCCTTGAGATCATCGCGTTCGCTTCACGCTTGCGGCGGCACGTGGCACGCAACATGTAAGATCTCTGTAGGCTCGGATGCTTGAGAACAGAGAAGGAGTTCGCACATGTCGGAAACTTGCGAGACAACTCAGCCCCAGTCAAACTAACGCAGAGCAAGGCTGTAGGTGTTTGGGCCCATATCATCGCCGTTAACTATAGATCGGGAAAAGAGGAAGAGGGCATGTCATTGCACAGTAGGGCCGCGGTGCAGAAACATGTTTCCCATCGGTCCCTTGCCGGTCTACCTGGGACAGTCAACGTCGGTGGTCCGCATCCCTCTTGGACGTGCGCGGCCGTTAGTCCCGCAGCGAGCGATGTCGATGGCTGGGGAGCCACGCTCACGGACCTTGAAAGTGAGGGACCGGTGCTGACCGGACTCCGACTTTGTGTGTACAATTGTCGGAAATAACGGCTCGTGAAAATCTCTTTATGAGCTATGTCGAATCCAGAGTTTCTAGACAGTAATTTGCTGGAAAACTGAACAAGAGCAAGTCTGGCGATGAATGCTCGTTTTGGTCTTCGCCCGTATGCATTTTTTGAACAATGTGGCTCACCTTGACCATATTGGAATACCGTTACTCATTGAAATAAATGGCATGGGCGAGCTTTTTCTTGTTGATGTGTATCATCAAGATGTGTCCCGTGATTCGTTTAGGCGTGTCCAATCCACAATGCGACGCTCTCGAAAAGGCTATCGATGTCAGAATGAATGTCCCTGTAGCCCCTTGGAAGGTCAGATGATGCTACTGAAGGACCATGGGCTTGACAGACAATGAAGCCCACATGTAGCTCAGTGGTATAACCTCGTCGAGTCAAACGGCCAGACAATCAAGCTTTTTCGTCCAAGACTCGTGATGCTGATCAGACCCGTCGATACACAATTCATCGTCAAAACCCAATGTAGTGTGTGGCCATGGACACTTGAGCTTAACACCGCTTGCGCAACAACTTTTTCCCATGAGGGTTGTGCTGAAGAGTTCTGTGACCTAGAAGAGAATTCGAAGCTGGCACAGGTGATGATTATCGTTTGAAAATCAACATGGCTGTCAGGCATGGTTGGACTGCGTGAGAACATGTCCATGGGAATTTTTCGTATCGACATTGGACGGGATGGAGATGATTTCCAACGCCGTAGAATCTTCTTCGATTTAACAAAAGACTTGGAGCAGACGTGCTGTCCAGAGAACGCAAAACTACGTCGAAAACCTCTCGAATGAATGTGTCGGTTGATATGACCGTCACCCATGGGGGTTTGACGCATATTGACGTTGCGACAACGCCGCTTTACTGTACTGCTGTGACCAAACGATCAGAAATGAGTGCCTTAATGCAATGTCATTAACAGACCCGAATGTCAGACATCAGATCGTCTAGGATCATCTACCGATTGAAGAACAATGTTCAAGCTTTCTTGGACTATAGACCAATCAGGCAACGTATTCTTCGAGGCATAGGAACAATTTCCCCCGAGTGATGAGTCCGGAGTAGTAGTATCCGGAGTTATGCGTCTATTCGATTAGCATGAACTTGCTATGATTGAGTCGCAGCTGTGTCAGCCGCAGTTTATCAACCGATGTGACACCACCGTTTCGCCGCATAAAAGGCAATAACGGCGAGACCGCAACAATCGAAGAATGATTGCCGCATGTCGTCTCTCGGACGCCGCTCCGCAAGTAGTTGCCGACGGCCGCCGTTCCTCAATTCGACAACGGAGCCGCTTCCTTTGAAATTTTCCTCCGACACGGCAATCAAGACACTCTGAGCTGTAAAGTGTACTAGGTACTTAAGAGATAACTAGTCACTCGAACGCCGTTATGTGCAGTAGCGTAGTGAGCAACGGTCTCAAGTCAGAAACGTTTCTTTGTTGATCTTTGTTGAACGTGTGGATAGGTTTTATAGTTCGATGGGGCAAATGCTTGCCACGTTTTTGGAGAAGGAAGCATGGTAGCTGGTAGCTTTCGACGACGAGCCAACACAAAGCCAATGGGAGGGCGTTGTAGCCTCAGACTCAGCGGCAACATGCACGCTCGGATCCTTCTACTTCCCACGACGTGCAAGATAAACCATATTGCGTGGCGTCGGTGTCTCAAGGTATGAAAGAGCGGTCCAAACTGTGGCAAAGGCCTGGAGTTGTCGCGCCC